GTGTGTGTGTGTGTGTGTGTGTGTGTGTGTGTGTGTGTGTGTGTGTGTGTGCATTTGCATGTGCGTGCATGTGTGTGTGTGTGTGTGAGAAAGAGAGAGAAGAGTATGTGCTGGCGAGTGAATGTGCCTGTATGTGTTTATTATGCTGCATCAAATTTCTCTTTTAGCAGATCAATAAATTGCTATCATCTCATCTTACTTTATCAAGAAATGAATAACAAAATAAGACTTTCAAAGTGAACAAGCCACCCACGAGATGATGAGACTCTCATAGCAAAGAAAATACTCACAGCGCACGATTCCCAGACAATCTCAATGATCTTTTCCCTCAGAGTATTCAGCTGATGCAGGGCACGATCGCACCTGTTCTTCTGGCGACCCTCAAACTCTTGCAGGGTCAAGGTTGCCACTGGGTCAAGGTCAACCAAGGCGATGATGCTGCTGGTGTCTCCATCCTTGAAGACGCTGCGCGCACTCTCACACAAGCTCCTGACGTGGACAAGGCAGCCCTGCAGAACCTCATTGGCTATGAATAGAGACTTGTACAGCTTCACCCTGAAACACAAGTTTTTCACAATTATGTGACGACGCGGTAGTTGGCGAGTGCTCTGGTGTGGTTTGCTCCTTCTTTTCTATCAAACATCTATCGTCCTTTTCTCCCTTCCTTCTTTTTTATGTTTGTTATTCTCTTGCAACACCTCTAATCTTCTGGCGCTCATATGACCTTATGCAGTTGCGAGTGCCGTAAAACCTCTACTAATACATACAATTGTGTGACGACCCGGTGGAATCAGGCGCTCGTCAATTTTTGGGCATGTAGAGTTATTGGTATCATCTGAAAGCTTATTCATTTGCCTTGTTTTTTTAATGAAAAAAATAACCTTTTTATCTTTAATAGAAGTCGATATATTTGCCATTGAAAGAGGTGGGGGTAGCATGGTTTCAGGTGTAAAATTAGCGAGAAAATGGCTGCCAAAGTATGGTAACTTCTATAGCGTGAGAATCCCTGGAAACTAAATATTCACATATTTTGTGCCATAAAACTACGTTTTTCAGTCAAATTCACATGGAAATGTGTTTATATATGGACAAAAAAGGTATTAAGCTAAAAACAAATTTCGGTAAAAACTGACCAACTGGAGGGAAAAAACCTGTTTCTTCGATTTCATTATTTTGACGAGCACCTGATTTCACCAAGATGCCTCACATTTGATAGTTCAGCCACATTTGTGTTGTCAAAGCACACTGTTGTGGTTTTGACTTCCATTTGCTTTACTCAACTTACAATAGCGGTAAAAAAAACAACCTAGGAGAAGTGAAAACTAAATGTTTTTGACTATACTTCACCCTGAAACACAAGTTTTCCACATTTGATAGTTCAGCCGGGTTTGTGTTGTCAAAGCACACTGGTGTGGGTTTGACTTCCATTTGCTTTACTCAACTTACAATAGTGGTAAAAAAAAAAAAACCTAGGAGAAGTGAAAATTAAATGTCTTTTGACTATATGCTCTTAATTTTGTCAACTTTGTATGCCCTTGTAACCAGTTTGAATGGAGTACAACTAAAAACATTTAGTAAGACAAGCCATATGTTACCTTCACAACTGCTGATAATAAATAAATCAAAGATCCCTTTAATGCAAATAAATGTGAATAAAAATTTCTATGAGGTCCAACCTGTAAAAGCCAAAAACATGTGTGATCCAATTCTGATAGCAGGCTACACAAACTTTCACACGTAAGATATGAAAAGCATAAACAACAGATGCAAATCTCTATAAATTTAAAAAACCCACACCTCCCCAATTATGATAAGCCTTTTTCATAGAATCGAGTAACAAAAGATCGACTCCACTACTCATGCACTAAAATTATCTTGGGGTTGGAAAAATCCTGATAATGATTTCTTCTGGTCTGAATTTCTTCGCAAATGAACCTGTTCTCATTAGAAGCTTAGTTTTGGCGATACTCATATCGTAAGCCCTATTCAACATAAGTAAGCTATGTGAGAAACAAGACATAAGTCAAATTTTCTATTTTAGATGGACTTTTTAGATGGACTGAGTTGGTATCAGAGAACCATGAAGACTGAATCTGGGAACGCTGAAACTGGGACCTCTGTGTCAATTAAAGGGAGAGTGCTTAAACCACAATACCATGTTGATCCTTTCTGATCACCATGTACTATCTCTCAAAGAAATCTTGAACATATTCTGTTCTCAAATTCATGATAAAAGTGAGAGAACCGTGGAATGAATCCAAATAAAACAGCAACAAAAGTAAATGAAAGATACTTACTGACTGCCTTTATTCTTCTGTCGATGAATGGCTTTTTTCCAGTTCTTGAAAGCCTTCCAGAGTCTGGGGATTAAAGTAAGACACATGAAGTAAAACCTTACTTTGTTTAAGGTACATACTGGTCCAAGTCCCACTCACACAAACACTGACAAACTAAGGCAGATGATCTCCAACTAGTCACCAATAAAGGCAAAGTTTTACCCTATTCCACAACCATTTAAATTCTTACATTTAGCACCAAAAAAATTCTCAAAGACATTGGCATACTCTATTGGCTCCAGTGGCAAAGTGAGTAGTGAGTTCAGACTCAAAAGTAATGTCAAGCAAGTGTCGGTAGCACACAGCTAAAGTGGGTGGTCACTGGGATGTGTCCTTGAGCAAGTCACGACAAACCCTAGCTCGAAGTAACAGGTCGCTGCATGCACAGTGGTGGCCAGCAATGGCACGTTTGGGAAATTGTTCTGTATTTGTGTGAAATTGTTCTGTATTTGTGTTATTTGCGTGAAATTGTTCTGTATTTGTGTGATATTGAGTATTTATATATGTATTTATATGTATTTATGGATGTATGCATTTATAATCATGTATTCATGTATGTACGTTTGCCATTGTAACCCACATTGCCCCATGGGGATCAATAAAATGTAATTTATAATTCGTTTATTCAGTCCAGCAGTATGAGGGAGGGGGAGGCAGAGTCATAAGAGACATAAACTGATGTACTGTCTGGGGGTTAGGCAATGACCTTTAAAACGGCAGCAGAAGCTGGCGCAACATAAGTCAGGCTGTCTACCACTGATTAAAATCAACAATAGCACTTATGACATACTTTATGCAAAAGTAAGCTGACCACTCAAATATATATATATATTTTCTACATGTCACAGTACCAGTAACCAGGAGGACTTTGGGAAAATGTAAAGGTTTAATGTCCTGTCCAACACAGTAAGATTTTCGATGGTCTCCGAATTTAACGCCCATCTCCGATACAAAAAGAGCCTTTCTCCTCTTGCCCTTTTTAACTCCCAGTGGAGCATAGGCTATCAACAACATTTCTCCAGCGAAGCCTGTCCTGTGCATCCTTTTCTAGCTGTTTCCATGATGTCCCCACCTTTTCCATTTCCGTTAGCAGCCTGCAGTGCCTTCCCTGCCTCGTGCATTGTACGAACATTCCAGGTGCCAAATCTGGTGGTTCTTCAGGTCGACAGGTTTCTCTGCTAGGAGGCTTCCTTTCGGCTTTCACCACGGAGCCAAATCAGGCAATTTATGTAAAGTGCCTTTCTCAAGGACACAGTATCAGAGTGAACTGAGCCTTAAACCCCTGAACCTGCAATCTAACAAATACAAGTTTAAGTAGCCTAACCACTAGGCTACTAACTTATCTCCCAAAGCACAAAAAAGTGCGGTCATGTGACTGGTGCACACAACACCGAGAACCCTGTCCTACCACGAACCACAAAGGATGATGGCATCTCGTCCCACAGTTGCATGTGGGTGTTGACACACAACACCTGGTGCAGCTTCTAAGTGTCCTACAAGCATTTAGCAGTACATTATATAGAAATAATAATGTTGTTAGGTCAGGAAACTGAGAGAAAAAAAAATTGTCATCAGCAAATGAGGGGGTGAGCTGCAAAACCCGCTAAGTGACATTTTGGAGAAAATAAACCCGGGAATTTTTGCTTATACATGCACATTATTACCGGCTATCAAATGCACAAAAGTGTTTTCGGCCAAAACTCAACACATACTTCATAAAAGCCACCAAAAAATCTTCTTTCGTGCATATAGTAGCATTTATAAAAGCTGATTACCTCAAATGTGCTCTAATGGATTTAGCGGGTTTTCCTATCTCAGCCCCTATGATTTAGGAAAAACAGTACTATGGGAAGGATTCAGAAAATGCATTCTGTGCACCAGACTACCCCACTTTATCTTTACGCTCACCTGAATTTCACAAACACTGGGAAATGAAAGACCATGTAGAAGAGTCTCCTCTCCCACAGCCACCAGAGAGCAGGTGTTGCATTGGATTCATTCATCTTGCTCTCATCCTCATAACACTGGTGAAGAAATGATGATTAATAGTGATAGGAATGATTATATGAATACCCCAACACATACAGAATATGTGAGACAGCGTGATGGAATCAGGCTCTCGTCAAAATAATGAAATCAAAGATATTGGCATTTTTCTGCCCGTTTGGCAATTTTTGTCAAATTTTTGTTTTTAAGCTCAACAGCTTTTATGTCTATTTGAAAACACATTTTTGTGTGGATTGTCCCGAAAAACGTTGATTAAAGGTACAAAAATGTACATTTTCATTTTTCAAGGACTCTCGCGCATTGAAAGATTCCAAGCGTTGGCGGTCATTTTCTCCCTTATTTTTCCTCTGAAATCAGGTTACCCTACCTACTTCAATCACAAATATTTTGACTTCTATTAAAGATAGATGGGTACTTTTTTCACCGAAAGATAGACAAATGAACAGGCTTTAAGATGACACCAATAACTCCACATGCCCAAAAATTGACGAGAGCCTGATTCCACCACGCTGCCTCACATATGATACTGTCTTTAAACAAAAAAAACAAAACAAACAAACAAAAAACCCCCACAAAAATGGGGAGGGGGAGTTGGTGAAGTAATAGGACACTGATAATACTTGGGCTACATATTCTCTTTTAATTTGAAAGAATTGTACATCATCCATCCAGAAAGAAAAAGAAGATTGAAGGCAAACAACACAAAAAAGGAAGATAGAAGAAGTAAGCTTAATACAGTCATTTTCACACACTGCACTTTGACAATTTAAAGTTTAAGAAATTCATCGGTGCTCTATAATGAAAAGTAGATTGCTAAAATTCATGAAATTTTGTAGATAAAAACTTTCACTGTTACTTAAATTTTCTGGAGATAAAATCCATCATTTTTTTCCCTCATAACATCCTTTTTCCACAGACAGCAGAAATTGTAGAAACTGGTAAGAGCTTTCCTTTTTTTTTCAAGCAATCATTTAAAAATATGCTCTATTAAAATTCTTTCAGAGAAAGGGTGCAGACTATGATTATCTTTTTGTAAAGACTTAAGACATAGATCGACTTGAAAAAAAGTCCTCTGGATATCATCGATTCATAATCAGGTTTCAACATCTTAACCCAATAGTTCTTTTATTTCATGAATAGGAGACTCGGTCTCTCATTCCACCTTCCGGGCATTTCTCATCTCTCTGATACCCATTCAATAGCAGATTGTACAGTACGCCCTCTTACCATTGTGATGTACGAGGCACTGACAGAGAAGTACATGGGTTTCGACCTGGCGGTGTTGGGAGACACGATCTGAAGGTCATACGGATTGTAGCGGGCTCGAAGATTGTTGCGATTGCGGGGAAGGCAGTAGAAGAACTCGCCATTGTCTTCTTTGGCTTTTGCAGCCTCCTGCAAGGTAGAAAAGAGAAAATATTACTGGCTGGTTTACAAGTTGGCCAAGCTGACAGTACATCTGAACAAAGTAAGTGAAAACCTGAAATGTTTTCAGCATATTATTGTGTCTTATTGAACATCCTACATTCTGATGGGGGTGCAGTGTACGGACTTTAAATTCAGGTCCTCCCCCCCCCTCCCCCACGCCGGAAAAACTTTTATGTTAAAAGGGTAGTTAAAAAAACAATACCAAATGATTTCACACCCTACCATATCACATCTGGCAGTGAAATTTTACTACCATTAGCAAAAGTTGCAGTCACTGAGTGCACGCTTAGAAAGGCAACACAGGTGAGATAGTGAACACATCTGTCATTTCCCTGCTATTATTACTTTTGTCATTGCTGATATTCTATCCGCCAAAATCTTAAATCAGCAACAACAAAAAAGCTGTGAGGATCACAATCAATACTGAGATACCAAAAGGGATAAAGGGAAAAAAAGTATTTAATTACTGTGCGCATTTTTAATAGTAAGAATTGAGAGAATCTCATTAACAAATACGTTCTAATGTAACCATTTGTAATAACACAGTGAATTTTTTTTAAAAGAAAAAATATGACATACACTCTTTAGTTTTTAGTTTTAGTAAGAGTTTTACAGCACATGCAACACAATAAGGTCATAAACGTGCAGAAGAATAGATTACTTGTTACAAGAGAGTAACATACACAAAAAAAGGAGGAGAGATCAGGACGACAGACGTTTGATAGGAAAGAAGGAGCAAACCACACCAGAGCACCCGCCAACCACCCACATATACACTCTAAAACCACTTACTTTCTCATCTTCAGGAATATCTGATAACTTTTCCATTTTCTCCCTTGTATCAGGTCCGTGTCGGGGAATGTCAAGGACCCATCCCAAAGATGTGCGCATTTCAATCAGCGTTTCCAGAACATTGGTGTTTTCTGGGACTAAATACAGAGGAAAATAATGGTAACCTCGATCTCACAAGAATCGAAACAGTAAAACAACAAAATAACACAGTATATGTAAAACAATATTTTTACTAAACATGGAAACACACACGCACGCACACAGCACGCACCCACGCACATACAAATGTACGTACGCAAGCAGGCAGGCAGGCAGGCAGGCAGGCACGCATGCATGCACAAACGAATGCATGCACGCACACACACATGCAAATACATACACATTAACACACACGCAAATACCTGTTACACATTTTCAAATAAATACTCTATTGCTAATGTGATAAAGGGAGTAAACCTACTGAGCTTGAAAACTGTATATTCCTAGAACGTAGTAAAATGTCCTTATGTGAACAGCGAATGATGTGAATGTACTGAATATACGTATAAACTAAGACAACCGAAGCAGAACCTACCTTTGTCATCATATTTATTCCGTTTCAGATATGACAGCATTTTGGAAGGGTCTGGCTTGGAAGATACATAAGACGTTGACTGAGACTTTGTCGTCATCTTGGTTTTTTTGGAATCAAACGAACGCTTGGTATCCACTCCAGCACTCTTTGATCTGTCTGGAAGCTTTGCCGGTAAGTCATGCTGGTTAATCACAATCTGAATCTGCACAAATTAAGAAAATAAGATCCAGTTATAAATTTGCACGCGAAGGAATAAATTACAATGTGCTCTTACCAGCTTTTGCACCACAAGATATACACACACAGAAATAAATAAATTTTAACTCTCTCTCTCTCTCTCTCTCTCTCTCTCTCACTTTCTGGCCTGTCTGTCTGTCTATCTATCTGTCTGTCTGTCTGTCTGTCTATCTGTCTGTCTGTCTGTCTGTCTCTCTCTCTCTCTCTTACACACACACACACACACACACACACACAAATACACACACACACACACACACACACACACACACACACACACACACACACACACTTAAGAAGCTTACAAACACATTTACATGAAACAAAATATATGCAAGTGGATAACAGATAAGGATGAAATTTACAACATTAGAATTGCTGTTGGCAAAAAGGATTTCTCTTACCTCTCTGGACTTGTTCTAAGATGTATTTGGCATCTGCTACACTCTAAAAATTCTACAAGCTAAAGCAGAGTGTTGCAAAGAAGGAGAAGAAAGTTGTAAAAATTCAGTTCACTTGCCTCGGTAAAGCATTGTCTCTGCTCCAATATTCTCTTCCAGCTTTCTTCCTTGCAATGGTCATACTACACAGTCCTTATTAAAAACAAACATAATTAAATATCTAGTACCATTAATTCATTCAAGTTCACTAATACAAACAAAATCGATGGTACAAATGCAGAGATAGTAGGTGGTCTATGCCTCTTTGTACCTGTTTCGCTGCAGCGAGCGTCTCTGAAGCAGCTCGTTTCTCTTTCATCGCCTCAAAGTCCTTGTCCCCCTTGACCTCATTGAACTCATTGCCATCGAGGTCCAGCTCTAGATCCAAGTCCTCTTCTAAGTCTGTGCGAGTCAGTCGGCTTGTGGAGGTGACATTCCGAGATTTCAGCATACTCGTGTCTGTGCCTCGTTTCAGCACACTGCTTGCCTCTGTCTTAGACGGACTTCCTGTTTCATAAGACATTCTGGGGGAGAACAGCTCCTCCATCATATCTACTTCTTGCATTTTGAGCCCTTCCTCTGAAAATTGAGATCCAAGAGAAAACAATAGTACCAACAGTTTTCAGTATGAACTCTTTCTCTGCAGCTGTCATACTTACATACATTAGTGCATGCATTAATGCACAATATTGCACCAATACAGAACAATTTTACAAACAGGCCATTGCTGGTCGTCACTGTGCAGAGTCCATTTTTTACATGATGTTGCCTGTGTTTTTATCAGTTGCACATTTATTACTTTTTTGCTCAAGCTCTTTCAACATCTTGCCTCTTGTAAGGAGGACTATAGCTCAGTTACAGTACCCATAACAGCATTTCTTTACTTCCCAACTTCAGTGCAAACTCAGGAAATGAGGCTCTCGTGGCCTAGAGGTGCGCTGTTTGCTTCTCATTCAATAGGTCTCCGATTCGAAACCTGACAGAGATGAAAAATTATCTTCTCTAAAATTTTTGTCTTTCACCTTTCCTGTTCTCTAATCATGTTCTGTTGTCTGCTTTCAGGTCCACTTTCTGTTCCCCTTCTTAGGGTCGGTAAGATCTAACAACTAGTCTTCTCAGGTAAGGGCAAAAAAATCTCGGAGGTTCCGTGTGCAAGTTGCCCACATTAAAGATCTCTTGGTGGTCCAAAAAAACAATAAGAGTAGGCTCCGGCTGCCATCCAGGCAAAATTCAACATTTATTCCTATCAAACTAAAAATGTTTAATGTGTCCCGCGCATTCATATGACCTTATCCAGTTGTGAGTGCCGTAAAACACTAATCAAAACAAAACAAAAATAATAATACTTAGGAAATAATAAAACTTAAATTAATAAAACTTCAACTTACCATAGTCTAGTTCATCAAACTCTGAAGCTTCACCAGTGGAACTGCTAAGATCCCGCGGTGTTTCTAAAGGAGCTAACAAACCAGGGCGTTTTCTGTTGATTCTGTAGTTAAAAGGAAATAGATTTTTAAAGTTATTAGTTTTTAAATTCATTTCCCCTTTCTCAGAGCATGTTTCTTGTTTACGAAGCGGAATCATACTTCTTGTCTGTCAGTAGATTGATTCATTAGTCATTTACTATAACTGCAAAAGTTGTGTCTGTCTTATTAAGAGTTCCATTTGTTCAAGGATAATAGACAATGAACGAGAATAGTGAGGCCAGAACGAGAGCTCAGCTCAAATCTCTTGCATCCACTAATGAGGTCAACCCTGGAAAATGATTAACACCAGTGCCAAACCATATTAAACAGAAATACTCTTGGATAAAAAAATAATAAAGAGAGACTAAAATATTCTTTCAATAAGTAAGGTAAAGTTTGTAATTCACATGGTCAAATTCTATTGAATATCTTCTAATTAACATTTGAAATCTCAATACAGTCAAAACTTGCATGTTATGAGAGTAAACTCACATGTTCTGCAAAATTGAAGTCTCCTGTGCAGTCCATTTGGCAGATGATTTTGACATGTCTTGATGTGCTCCAGCCGTTTTCCTTGGCAAAGAAGTTGGCAAAGGTTCTAGTACTGTGCTTCTTTTAAGAGTATTAGGAAGTCCTGTCAGGTCATCTCCCTAAACACATACATGAGAACACCGCACTAAGTTTAAACAAATATACATAATGCATGATTTTTTCAATAGTGCTTACAAACTACGACAGAAATTTTTTTATATATATATATATCTGTTGTCACTTGACAAAGTAGAGATTGTATAAACTCTTCCTGACCGTTCTAGCCTGGACAAAGAGCTCGTATCGGCCAGGGCTGATACACATCAAATAATGAGGAATCTATGATTGGTATTTCATAGTGCTGTTATTCATATATTATGTGTTTATTCTTAGATTCTGAAGACACTTGGCAATCATCTCCTGGCAAGAGAGGAAACTTTTAAGTAACAAGATACTCTCCTTTGTCCCCTTGATAAATACCTGCATTTAGAATGTTTGAATTCGCTCTACCACCTCCACCCAGCTGGCTCACAGGATCATTCGAAAAATCTGCTAGACCTTGTTATCTATAATCAAACTGTACATTTACTGCTTGGATCATTCATTTCTTCTAAGTATCGAGTTATTCTGTTCAAATAGGTTAAATACGAGCAAAGCTAAAGAGAAGTTAGTGATGCTGAGTACTTAGATGACAAAATTGACTGCAAAGAGAGGAGGCATTTACCTCTGTATACTAAAAGTTAACATTTTCCTCTCTCAAAAATAAATCCTAAAATAACAGCATGTTGTACATTTCCAGTTAGTAATAAAAATTACTTTAGAAAACGTAACAAACAAAAGAAAAGAGGAATGACACCAAAAAGACAAAACAAACACTGCAGGCACACACTAATGCAGTCAACATCAAATTTTCAATTCATTTGCTAATAAACTAAATCTTATAGTACAATAAACGACGCTCATTATCTTTTTTAAATCCAATACTAAGTACCACAACTTGTCACGCCGCTACCAAAATGGCACATCTCAGTTTTGCTACTTTTGAGATAAAAGAGGAAAAAACTGTTTAAACAAGACTATTTATCATCTAATAATGCATGTATCTTTTGTGATTGCCAGCGCATTTTTTTCATATTTTACCAAAACACAGATATATAGTATCACCAAACAAAATAAAACACAATTGCATTTCGGTACAATTCTGAGTTATGCCATTTTCTAGCGCAGTGACAAACTGTTTCATCTGTAATATAATCATTTTGACCTTGCTCATTAACTCCCACATTTTTCATGTACAAAAACAAACTTACGCCTGAGGCTGGTCGTTTCCTCACAGACTGCATTTTCACATACTGAACCACTCCAGAAGTCTCAGGCTTATCATATAGTCTGTCTCGGAGTCGTGCTTGCAGAGAAATCGGCTCTGGGACAGGGAATTGTTTCTTACTCTGAGCAGATTCCATCTCAGGATAAGAAATAGAGCTCATGTTGAATCTTGTAGACTTCAGTTTGGAAGCTCTACTCTGTCCCAGTGAGTCAGGCTCTCTAAATTCTGAGTTCAGTAAAACCGACCCATTAGAGTACTGGCTCTGCGGAGAGGCCATGGAGTCACCTCTTACATCAGTCATTTTTCCTGCCGACATCTATTTTCAGCAGTAGAAAAGACACCTCACTGATGTTTACTAGCTGCAAATAAAAAAAGAAAGTGAAAATTTCTCTAGTTACAGGATACGAACAGCTTCGCAACAAAACGCAACTTATCCACTTTTCCAGTTTTTAGAAAAATGAAGATTTCTGTTCTTCATTGCTCTTCTTTAAATTGATGAGATCTCCGCACACTTTTGACAAAACAGGACATATTCACATATATTTAAGGAAGGGAGAGAACCAACATTTAACAAACTTCCACTGAGCACAAACAAAGTCTCATGACTCAAGGAAAGAACTTGCATTAGCGCACAGAGGGTAAGTTGCAATTTTTCAAAAAAGGTCAATTGCTGCATTTTGTAAAACATAAGAAGTCACTTTCTGCAGTTCTTTAAATTAAACTAGACCCAAAATATATCGACTATACGACTAGTTTCAGTATAAATTTTTTTTAATGACATGCGTTGTGTTTTGGCATAAAACTGTTTATATTCAAATTTATAAATATAAATCAGAGACACAAATATCGACTTATTGCTTGAGACTCGGGTAACTGGCTAGTAGTAATAAATATAGGCCTACTAGTATTCAAAGCTATAATATCAATATACCAAGGCCTATACCAAGTGTGTTAATTTATTATAATAAACATAGTGTACAATAGATGTTCCTATGTCACATGTTCAGAGAGAATTAGACAACCAGAAAAAAAGCTAAATTATAAAATAAGAAGAGTAGACTCTATAGATGTGTGGGCTAAACAAGAGGGCTTTGGATAAAAGTGAATGGAAAATATATATATATATATATATATATATATATATATATATATATATATATATATATACAGTCACACCTGTGTAAGACCCCCCCCTTTTTTAAGAGGAAAAAAAAGTGGCCGTATAAAACAGGTGGCCATCTTAGGCAGGACTGATCAAGATGAAGAAAACAAACCATTTTTTTTGAGGCCCCCCCCCATTGTTGTTTTTTTTCCCCGGGGGGGGGGGGGGGGGGGGGGGGGGTTCTTCTTCTTCTTTTTTTCCTTTTGTTGCTGCTTTTGTGCAAGGGTGACAATAAAACGAAATGTGTCAGACAAGGAGGGCCGAGTAATATGGTAAAACAAACACATGGGTGGCCACCACTCGGAGAACGAGCGACGCTTCTGTCACAAGTTCATGTTGACGTCCATAGTTACTTTGTTACAGACTGGGTAAACACTTACGATTTGTGTATGAGTTCTGGGCGGGGCTTATGGGTTATGAGGGATCACACACTTACCTCACCAGCAGCTGAAAATTTGTTACCTATTGGTCAACAGTGGGAGGGGCCTACGCAACATGATCGGTTGGAGGGACTACCTAACAACGACAGGTGATTGAATTATGACTGCTCGCCCACAACGCCAGGGGCCAGTGCACAATTTATGACAAAACGTAATGGAGTCACAAAGGTGGCCGTCTAAGACAGGTGTTATTGCTTAGTGTGATGGGGGTTGTGTGTTAAAATATGGTGGCCGCGGCCGCGTTGGACAGTGCCCGTTTTACACAGTTAAATTATGTAGAAAAAACGCAAGGGGGGAAATGGAAAGTGGCCGTTTGTACAGGTGGCCGTCTTATAGAGGTGACCGTCAGGGCAGGTTTGACTGTAAATATATATATATATATATATATGCTGGCTGCTGGGGTCTCTAGTCCTACGATTGATCAAACATAAAAATTTCTCACTGATGTGAACCAACAACATTTTTAGCCTACTATGAAATCAGCATATAAAATACAATCATAATGTAGTGTTTTAATTTTCTATAAATTATCGGTACCTTACATCAACATTGACTTATATGAAACATCAGGCATCAGGCAGCAGAATAAACGGCACTGCCAATTAAAGCTATATTTTCCTTCCTCTCAGTAAACCACAAACAAACAAAAAAATCAAGGAGAGCCTATTTGCAACGCCGCGTTGTGATTAGCGCCAGAGCTAAATAAAAAGCCACATTGCAATTAGCGCCTGTGCTAAATAAAACGCTGTATGTTAAATAGAGAGATATCAAGCTTGATCTACCTTTCGTGGTTGAAAGCTCTGATGGCCGAAAGGACAGCGCGTCTGCGTTTGAAGTCAAACCATTATTTTATGAGTGTGGGTTCGAAACCCGGTCTGGAAGTTTTGGGTTTTTTCTTTCTTCTCCTCTTCCCGACTGACCAACAATGTCATATAATTATAACTTGTTGCTTTGTAATTGTAGTTTTTTTAAAAGTAGATCAAGTGATCGATGAAGCACGCACATTCTGGTTTTGTCCCCAAGAGGAGCTTTTATACCTAAAAAGTAGGCCTATAGCCTACTTTCCCTTTTACCAATTTAGGCCTGGTTAAAGTTCAATAGTGGCTTTCCTTGGTCTGTGAGTCTAATTATTCTTTTTTAAATTTTAGGCTCAGGAGAAAGAAAAAAAACAACCTTCCGGGACCGGGATTTGATGCCACGCTTGGAAGCACCGAACATTAGAGAACGTAGAAGCTTATTAAATTGTAGATCTAGATCTATACGTTCTCTAGGTCTAACGTTAGAGAACGTAGACACTAGGCCTAAATCTAGATCTAGTGCTTACCGAGTTGCACCTTCTTATTGTTATCCAAGCGTCTTTTGATTTACTTGCTCAAACTCAAATGATTATGAGAGATGAACAGGACTAGATCTATTTGTTTGTGCAAACAATGTCAGAAACAATTTTTAATCTAGAATCTAGATATCTAGATCTAGATCTAGATATCTAGATCTAGATATCTACCCAATATTGATCGGAATAAGACAACGTCATAAAAAATATTAAAAGGAGTCAAATCCTAGGACTAGGAGGTTTTTATCAAGAAACTGAGAAACCTTCCACAATTCAGGCAGAACTACAACATTAGGACTTAGGTATTGTGTAGAAACAATGGTTATAAGATTCTAGTACTGGCGTTTCAAATAGCATGGGAGCTATTCAGAACGCGGCATTTCAAATAGCACGGCGAGCTATTCAGAACGCGGCGTTGTAAACAGTGTCTGCCAAAAATCAAACTAACCATTACCATCTAGTGTAAGGCCTCTCATTACTACAGATATAGAATCTAGAGCCTTTGTGATTTTGCTTTTATTATTTTACATCAAATTGCTTCACCTCATAGTTCCACGTACAGTGACAGTGACATGAAGAAAGTTCTGTATACTGTATTGGCATTGGCAATGCTGTTGTCTGTTGTCCAGAAAATTATGAATTATTATGCTCTATGAAACAAGAGAGCAACAATCTAAAGAAGGTCAATTATTTTAACTCTAGCCTATTGAAATAGATAAAGAGGATCAGCCAATCTCTTCTTGATCTAAGCAACTAGATCTACCAGAGGTGGCACATTCCGTTTAATTCTTTTACTTGCCTGTGCAATTCAAGTCATGTTATTGCTATCATCCGGCGCCATCTTAAGTTTACCTTAGCAATACCCACAATGCACTTAATTTTTTCGCAGTTTAAGGTTATAACTTATTTATAATAATGTTACACAGGATGTAGAAATATCTGACGAGCAGGATTAAGAACTGATTCTTGGCAGTGTTTACCAATTATTTTCACCTTTTTTAAAGGAGACAGGCATAGATGGATCAAGGCACATTGTTATCAAACATTGATCTCTGTGTGAAGCAATAATTAATTATTAATACGCAGAATAAAAGAACCAAAAAAATCAGTGGTCGTTCTTGCTTCGAAGTGAAGGGAAGCTACTCCCGTCAACTTCAACCGTCAACCGTACTTGGGACTCTTTTCCCGTTCCCCAATCATTTTTATTTTACGTATAAAAACAATTCGTCGTCATAAGGCGGAAATTCTAGACTATCAAAAAGCGAAAAGAACAGCGCCAGAATCGCTGTGGAGGAATAGAACATTATAGAGTCTAGATCTAGATAGATCTAAATCTAATATTGTACTTGTTAGCGGCATACGGTGAGGTGAGGAACTGCTACTGAAGATTCGGGGCTCTTTTGCCTTTGCCTTCCCGTTTGTTTACATAAAAAAGAAACAGAAGTGATCGGTCAGTGGTGTTCAGTTGTCGTTCTCTAGCTAGATCTATCCGCTTCTTGTGGCGACAGCCTAGACGTTGTTGGCCGGTGGTCTGTAAACAATCTCTGTACATACTGTTCTGTAGCCTGGTGATACTGTCTACGATTCTCTCTGTCACTGTCAAAGAAAAGACGAAACGGGCTGGATCCAAGCAGATCGGGTCAGCGGGGCCGAAGGCACCATCGCGGTCGATGAATGCGCGGGGATTTCGGGATTATATTAAAGCTATAAATGGAAGGGATGGCTCCCTATATAGAACGCATTGGTCAAAAAAGACAAAAACGGGCGTTTTAAGTTTTGGGGTTTCTAGACTTTAAAAATGAATTGAGCGACCCCACAAAGTGCTAAAAAAGTGTAACTTTAGCTGTTCGGGAAATTGAAATGAGAACTTGAAATGCTCGTTAAGGATTGCAAAAACATATTTACGGATTGGGTTGGAACTACTTTTTGCTCGCTAAATTTAGCTGACTTGGGAACTCTCTCTGAAACTACTTCTGGACAAATATCTGTTATTCTGTAGAAAGTGGCTATTCTCACCCGCCGGAAGTTCTCGCAAGATCAACTCCTCCCCTCTTCTCTCTCTCTCTGTCTCTTTCTGAATACTGTCTATCGGTGTGGACGATCAAATTGACCAAAACAAAGTTAAAAAATGATGTTAAAACACAAAAGTAAATTAATTTGGTTGTCTACAAAGATGCTAGGGCTATTTAACTTTTCGAATCGAGCCGAACTACGCGGGTCGCCATTTTGTTTTGCCCGGAAATTCTCGTGCTACTCCTCTGCTCTCTTTCTCTCTCTCTCTCTCCACTGCCCACAGACATAATTGTACGCTTTTAGCAGGCTACAGTTGTAATGGAACGTTTGTTCACGGCACAGAATTCTACAATTTTTCTGTTATCACAGTGTAGAATTCTGTGGTTTAGGGTGAACGCAAAATTTGGTGAACGCGCACCGGGTGAGAATAGCCACAAGACTCGCCTGCACTATTCTCACTCCGGGTGAGAATAGAGGTGGCCTATTCTGTAATTGTTTTAGGAGGACTTCCGTAACGAGCGACCACTATATGAGACAGAGCAGAATTGAGGGCAGGGGATAGGGGCAGATCTAGGGGTAGGGGTATTGAGGGCTAGGGGTAGGGGCAGATCTAAGGGTAGGGGTAGGGTTTGGGTTATGGTTAGGGGTCGACCAGTATGAGACAGAGCAGAATTTAGGGCTAGGGGTAGTATAGGGTTAGGGTTAGAAGGCCTCTTCTTTATTGTGTTTGATGGGGTGGTCACTCGTTACGGAAGTCCTTAATTACAGTGGAAGGTAAGTTGTGAGATATTTCATTGAGATGTACGATGGTTGAAAGGTCGGGGTAGTTGTCGTTCGAATAACCGTGAGTAAAATACTAACTATACACATTATTTCACTAAATGAGCTATTATAATGACTAGGGGGGAGTATTCGAGTTGTAGTGATTGGTCAAACGCGCGTATGAATACTTGTTGCAGGATGTAAACAAAGATGGGGCATGCAGGGACATTCGAGTGGATTTTTCAGATTCTTTAGTCGACTTTGAACGCAGTGAGTGCTTTTATATAGTGTTTAGAACTCAAATTATGTTTTTTGAATGGATATCGTAGAAAGTGTTTTAATTGTTAAGTGGTTAATGGTTTTTCTTTCTCATTTTGGAGGGAAATTAACACTCTTGCTGGCGTATTAATATTTTTCCCGATTTTTTTCTATTATTTCATTGTATTGATTGACCCGGTCTGCTTGGATTTTACCGACGAAACGAAGTGACTATTTGGACTCGAGTCCGAATATGAAAAAATGTTATTCAGACTCTGATTCTTGTCCAGCATGACATCACTTCCGGCTTCCGACTTCCTATGACTCGTGACTCCGGCTTCCTGGCCTGCCTCACTCGTGACTCGCCTCTGGCTGGGTAGAGACCGGGATCACTTCGGGCAATATGATGAATTTGAGGCCGGCCTGAAAAGTTATAGCGCTTCTAATAAATGTTTATTTGTCAAGAGGTCATCAGAAGCAATTAAAGATGGCTCGTTAGCGTGTGTCGGGGTCGGATGGGTGGCCTGCACACGTGTGGCTGTGTGCGTGTCGGGGAGGGGGGTGGGGGGGGGGGGGGGCATAATCGATCCGGGCGTTGAACTTCGCATACACGCGTCAGTCTTTTTTCCCCCGGCAACTGATCATTATTACAATAATAAGCTAGTCTTGACGTAGATCTACATAATGAATTGTGTGCTGGTCTATGGAATCAAAAGTTGCCGTATGCTCAGCTCTACACAGCAACACAACTTTTTCTTGGTAAACAATCGAGATGACACACAGGCTTGTGTATTTGAATGAATCGGTCTTTTTTTTTTTTTTACACAGCTCATAATATGCAGGTGCCAGGTGGTCTGCTAATCTTCAATTTTACCTTTTTCTACAACAAAGAAAGTGGGAAACATGGGGGGTTGGGGGGGGGGGGGTATCAATGAGGCGGCAGGCATCGGATCGGCAGAAAAGGTGTGGGGGAAACTAAAAAATGGGGGAAAATTGGAAGCACTGAACGTTATATCTATAGAACGAAGACACTTCCTTTTTTTCCGGACCCGAGTCCGAATAACATTTTTTCATATGCGGAATCGAGTCCGAATATGAAAAAATGTTATTCGGACTCGAGTCCGAATCAAGACGACCTTACGGAAGGCAGGAGATTGGCCTGGGGGGGGGGGGGTTGGTGTGGTTTGGTTCTTCTTTCTTCGGACTATCAAATCTACATCATCCTGATTTCTCCTTCTTTTTTGTGTTTGTTGCTCTCTCTCTGGACTTGAGAAAGTTTTACTTTTTTTTAGGGCAGACCCCCGCACGCAGATCCGGTCATACTAAAATGCGAAGAGATACGATCCCGGTCCTATTTGCGAGGGTGTCCCCCGCGCTCATCATATGACCTTATGATGCAGTTGCAAGCGCCGTTAAACACTTATATATCTAGATTCTAGATCTAGATCTAGGCTACCAAAAAAAAAAAATTAATTTAAGTTGCACTATAATGGCAAAAATCCACAAGACGCATTTAACAACGGAATTTCAAATTTCGTAATATTCCACTTGTCACAGTGGCACCCAGCGCCATAAAGTAAGGAAAATCCGATCATAGTAAACATAATTGATAAAATTTTACTTATAATAATTGTAAGACGACAGTAAAGAAATTGAAACATCAAAAGGACGTCTCGGGCCAATCAGATGGCATTCATTAGGAAGTCTCGGGTGTTCATCATGGCGGAGTATTTTATAAAAAAACTTGTGGGGACCATAGCCTAGATGGTAAGGATTACCCAAAATTTTGATGATAGTAACCATGAAAATGAGTCATAAGTCGTCTGAAGGGACACAAATCAGATCTTTACTTTTCGTGTCTTTTCGCATTTTAGTTATGACTCCACATATTCTATAAATAGTGCACTGTTTTGAGGGCTAAACTGCGATAATTTTTGCTACAGAGTATACATATATGGCTACTAAAACCCTTGTGAATCAATTGTTTTCAAGTAAATATCAGTTATAATCCTAATCGCTAGAACATCAAACGAGATCATGGTGAAATGCAAGGGGTTATTCTCCCCCCTCCCCCCCCTTTTCGATTCTTTTAAGGTCAAGGGGGCATACTATATACAGTATAATTCGCCTATATAAATATCAACATGCTGTGGGAAGTGGATTTCTTGTCGGTGTATAAAAATGTCGATAAATGAAAATATAAATCAAAGAGGAAAAAAAAATTGGAGTTAATGAAGGACTAATGCGTTGACTTGCCCATTAGCATGGCTTTTTCCCAGTTTTATGTTCGTGGGCTTCGCCAGGTACCCAGAAAGCATGTCGATAAAGCAGAGTGGGCCGAAAAAAAAGTCAGGATATAAGAGGAATTGTTTAGTGAAGATATTGATGGAAAAATTTCGTAATCGGAAAATAGATCGAATGTCAAAATGTTGAGAAATCGGTATTATAAGTGGATTATACTGTAGTTCGTATAAGAATATCCATTTAAACTAATAATGCAGTGTATATAAAAGTCAAAATGTGTGCCAAGCAAAAATGAACATGACATGAGAAAACTTCATTAGAATACTAAGCTTGAGACGCATCCATGAGTAGAAATATTATGCCCTCTCTTATAACAGTGTAACACTTCTAAATTTTCAGCTCTTGCATCATGACCTCTATCTATTGTATTGTGTTGCAAGTGCCATAGAATTCTTACAAAAAAGCTAAGGAAATAGGGAATTACAAGGGAGCCAGATAGAATTACCCATCTTGAGGAATCTAGGGGAAGAGGAAAGGGGGTTCCAGGGGCCCAGACCGTGAGATCAAAGGTCTATTTCTGCTATTGGCAGGACGTTATCAAAACTTCACACCTCTCAAGTACTATCCTTGCCTCTGTGCCTCTACTGATATGAATAATTAAACTAATAGCATGCATTCTGCTCATCCACTGTTGCTGGTGCTTTCATCTCATAGGACAACTGTTTGACCTATTAAAAACAGTAATGATCATATTTTTGTGTATTGCGATTTTGGTATTACTTTCTGTCACATTTTGTGAGGAGAAATTATGTATTTTCCAAAATTGAAAATAGTAGGGTATTTTTTTTTAATTGTGGAAAGAAAGTTATACAGATGACTTAGTAAAAAAAAAATTTCAAAGGAAACACATATCATATCTAAGCCAAAAATGAAGCCAGTTTATGTTCCTGAAAATTTTAAAAGTATGAAAATGACCAGTAGGCTTACTGTGATATCATCAAGATCCTGGTGTGGCCAGGACTCTCAATGAGCTAATCTGAAAATCCACATTTATTTTTCTTTTTTTATTTAAGCAACCTCTCAGAATAGAAAACCTGGCTAAACCAGAGAAAACACAGTGGTCTTGCCGATCTCGTGCAAGCAGATTCCACTGTTGTATAGTTTTTGGCTAGTTTTGTGTTGTAAACAATAGATTAAAATAAGATCAAGTAAGATCCATTTTTATTGATCCATGTGGGGAAATTCGGTTTACTGTGGCGTAACCTATAATACGGTGTACATGATAATATAAATCTTACATAGTTACTGAAACATACAGACAGACTACAAGTAGTCACTGAAGCATACAGACAGACTACAAGTACCAATGTTGGTTGCCATGGTACAGATTCAATAGACATGTAAAAGTTTATTCATAACCTTCGTCATAATTTCGTCATCAGACTCTCCATGATCTGGGAAACCCATGTCGTTAAAAAGACAATCCTCAAGAGTGATATGTTTTTAAACAATGGTTTCTCATACATGTCCACCAGACTTTTAATTTTTCCTCTACACCACATGATTTTATTTTAAAGTAATGTGGATCACAAGAACCTAGATTTCTGATATAACCACTTAATGAATGTTGAATGTCTTGGCAAAAGCAGAAACGTGAGAAGCAGGATGATGGCTTGTTTTCTCGGATTTTGAGTTAAACCTACCATCTTTCTTGGGTGACACTGTTCAAATGGTTTGGCTGTTTTTTATATAAGCAAAAACCTGAACTTCATTTTTTTTTTAAAAGAAAATAAAAATTCTGTTATTCCGCCACTGTCATTAAAAAAATGCCAATTTTCAACAACAAAATTTAGTGTCGGTGCTGTGAACACTAATTGAAGCTCCAAAATATTATAACATGACCTACATACATTTTTTATGCAACCAAAAAGTGGTTCCTTTCTTTTGATTGCCAGTATATTTAATAATTTTACAGATAGCGTGGATACTTTTTGAGTTTTTAGCTTTTGAAAATCGTCTTTTAGATAACCTGGTTCAAATGAAACTGGCATATCATCATAATATCTGTCATGTAGCTAAAGGATTTTGTTATTGCATGCTGTTGACCTGATTATGATTCCCATGCTGGTAGGTTTTTTAAAATCAGAACAGCCTGCCTTTAACTTTAATTATGTTGATTGAAGCATAAAAATCAACAATGTGTGACCTTCTGGGGTCTTTTGACAAAAGAGCACTCAGCGTTGTTGCATTGTTTATTGTCTCAAACTTTCCATTTTATTAGGACTGTGCCTCAGAACGAAGAACTAAACATGTCTGGCAAAGATGGTGTTCGCCAAAGACGCTCCGGGAACTCAAGTCCTGAGCAGCGATCGGTCGGTGAAGAGGAAGCAATAAAGAAAGCCTCTAATGGGTATGTTGGAAAGACATAATTTTGTCTTTGCAGGCACATACACAGTGATGTAGTGATAAAGCTAATGGGCTGAGGACCCTTTGACCCTCATGTACAGCACATGCCTTTTATGTTGTATTCAATTAAAGATTTATACAGACATGGGGATTAGGTATTAAGTTTGAATTTTTTTTCCAAGTGTTCTTCTGTTGTTGATCCAAGTGTGTGGGTGTTCAAACAATTTTTCTCTTCTAACATACATTAAGATGAAAATAATGTAAGTCCTGTGTACACGTTGCTCTTGTCAAAGACTTTTTGCTGTTGTCAGTTAAGTAGATGATACCCCCGGGGCGGTGCTACTGACTGAAGTGTCTTTAGGCCATTCCCAAAGGGGGGGACATTAACATCTCGAGTTCTTATACACAGTAGAATTGTAATTGTAAATGGGCTGATTCATCAATGTCATGCTCATAACTGTGCCTGAACCGAAACAGGGAACTGCTGCTTTTTCTTTCCTAATCCTTACTATTGTCATTTTTCCTCTCCTTCTTTTGTATGTTTGTCACACTCTTGTGCCCCGCTGTTTCTGGGCTGCCTTAATAGTCGAAGCAGACTTTGTGCTGTTGAAGCTAGAAAGGTGAGCAGAGTAAGTCTGATTCCCTGTAAGGACTTCTCTGTTGACATCCACCCCTTGACGCTCATATGACCTTATGCAGTTGCGAGCGCCATAAAACCTCTACTGAGACTAAAAAAATTAAGTAGATGAAGTCTACCATGCAGAAAGTGTATTTGGCTATTGTGTCTTTAAAATCTTTGAGAAACTCTCAGTCTTGTTTGTAAAATGAACATGGAAGTTATAATGTAGAAAAACTAATATTGAGGAGCTGCCCATGAGCTCTGTCATTGGAACAGAGAAGGAAAAAAAAAAAGGTTTTAGATGGATAAAAAGGTAGATATCACTGTAAGTATGTAGATGAATGAATGAGTGTGTGTGTGTGTATGAAAGAGAGAGAGAGACAGAGTTTGTGTGTGTAGTGTGGTGTGGTGAAAGAAGCTGAATAAGAAACAGAAATTTCATGTGTATACATTTATATCACTGATGTTGAAATAAAGATCAGCGTAGCCCCCACCAAAAAAAACCCCAGAAAAATTAGATGTACATACATGTGTAGTATACAAACGTTACATTTTACCTATGTAGGTTCATGTCAGTCAAAAGTGACATCTGCGCCTGCCCAATGTTTTTATTGGAGAGGCAATGCAAAGGGAAGCAACCTCTCATAATATGCAGAAATTTCCTGGCACCACTCGTTACTTTTCTTTAAACATTACTTGCTCAGTGCCTATAATTATCCTCACAAAAACCTCATCATGTTTGCTATAACAAACACTCAAAGTCAACAAAATTGGAGGTCTGTCCCGACATCTTCATTGATTTCGAGTTCCACTGTATATATTCTTTTGTTGTCATGCATTCATCAGTTATTATGTCTTTTCCTTGATTTCAGGTGGATCCGTGCTTTTTTTATTGCTGTTGTCCTCGCACTCTTCATCCCAATATTCATTATGTTACTTCTGCCGTGTCCTATTGAGCCTCTGGAAATTTCTGGGTGAGAACTTACTGTTGCTCAAAGGCAAATTTTTTTATTTTTCATATATATGGGACTTCTTTTTATAAACTTCTCCTAGACATAAGAATATTTTACCAAAATATTTCTTTATGACTATTAGCCTGTGACGTTTTGTACCGAAGTCTGGCCCATGTCCTAATTCAAGAGGCAGGTGATAGTGCTCAGAATAATTACACGAGGATACGTAGGTCACCTTAATTTGTCGAGGGCATGTGAAAAAAATAGCTGGTCTCCGCACAAGGCCACTTTGGATGTGAGGGAGAGGTACATCTATGATAATTCCTAAACAACTACTGTAATAATAAATAATAATAATAAGAGCATTTGTATCCCGCCTTTCCCCACAGCATGGGCCCAAGGTGTGCATAGGAGATTAAAAACGCATTCATACTAAATCCATACAAATTCATTCTGTGCGCACTTTTTGACAACAACATTCTTTCAGACAATAAAAAATGCTCATACAAAAAGGCAAAGATACTGTCCATTAATTAAAATATTTCTTAAATAGATGTGTTTTGATTCCCCTTTTAAATTATTTCGCTCCTCAAATCATGAGGGAGAGTGTTCCAAACTGTTGGCCCAGAAAAAGAAAAAGCTCTCTCACCATATTTCTTCAGTGACACACGAGGTGTGGAAATTAGTCTAGAGCCACTGGATCTTAGTTCACGTGATGGTGTGTATGGTACAATGAGTTCTTGTACATACAACTTTCCAATTTTTTGACACTATAGAGGAAGGATAGATCTCGTACCCTGTTTACCTCCCATTTCAGCACTGCATGTTTACTTTACTAGTGCTTTTCTTTTGCACGTTTAACTTTAGTCAAATAGATTTAGATATGTGTGTTTCGGGATGAATAAATACTAATAATAAAAGTGAAACAGGAGCTTTTATTTGTTTCAATTTATGAAGCAGGAACAGATCGTACCTGAGCACCTGATAGAAAAAGTCCTTGTGTCTGATTCTTCTTTCCCCATCTTTAGATGCTTGTTTCTAATTTAGATATGATTGTAGTGTGGAAAAAGTGGTTTTCAATATTTTTGTGTTTGCTTTTACATTTGCTTTATGTTTTTCTAAGACACAAATGTCTTCTCCACTCAGTTTGACAGATCGACCAGAACTGACTGGTGTGCTGAAGCCAAACAACCTTCTTCATTTATGTGAGAAACTCTACCAAAATCACTTGGAGGGTCCTGAATCAATTGAAATAGATGGAGGTTTGTCTTCTTCTACTTTGGAGTATTTACTTTACATGGTTCAGCCCCAAGGCCTGTTGCTTTTGCAAAACTTTTGCAGTTTTGAACCAGCTGCATATTTTATCTGTGTAGAGGAAGACCAAGAATACCTTACTTAAAGAACTTGAACTGATGGGTGACAGGCAAAGACAAGGATAATATTAGTCACATATGTTTTTGAGGGCATCTGAGCAGAGAAAAGAGTGGGAACCATGATTGTCAATGTCTGTTTCACATCTCTCGCTTTAAGAATAAAAGATTAAGAGAGTATTCCCAACATTAGGAGAAGGTGGACGGTATATGCTCATGGCTGTTAACAAACAATACTTTAGTTCCACCGACTCCCCCGTGCGTCCGGCACTAAGCGTAACCCAAGGCCACATGTAATAAATCTTGATTAAAACAAAGCACTTTAGGATCGCGGGTAACACCGGTCAGGATGACAGCATTGCAAGCACATTTAACTCTACTGACACTATATTGGCAAAAACTTTATGTGATTACAAAGTATGAAAAATAAATTACTCTCACAATAATTCTAACCGATTTAGTATCCCATGTTGCTGTGATATCACTTTTGGAAATCGGTTGCTACCAGAGAGACAGCCTTTGAACATCGCATTTACCTGGTATTTTTTTCTTATTCTGATTTTTTACACGTTCGACAGAGGGTGCACAGACCGAAAGATTTGGAGATGTTTGTCGATATTGTGACTGCCTGATAAATTTCATTTTTGCTTCTGTGTTGCGAATCACAGCTGCCCATCTATTTAATTTGTTGAATGAGCTCTCCTCTCTGTTCAATGTAGAAAGCAATTATTCTAGACCCATATTTCTGTACCCAAGGGACAGTTTTTTTCCTGGAAACGTTTTGGTATAATTTTGTCTCTGGAATGTTTCCTGTACAGTGTCTTGCAGTGGCGTAAGTGGCTTAGTAGTTAGGCTACCTGACTTGTAATCAAATGGTTGCAGATTCGGCAGTTCGAACGCCAGCGCAGTCCGACATTGTGTCCTTGGGAAAAGCACTCTACATAAATTTCCTATTTGGCTCAGTCCTTTCGGAGATGGACGTTTAACTCAGAGGTCCCGCCTTTTAAATAACCTATTGTGTTGATAGGGGCGTTAAACCTATACCATTTCACCATTTTCAGTGTCTTACATATGGTAATGCATGTCTGTATGTGTGGAATCTTGTCTTCTAGCATAGGTTTGCATGTGATATGAGGTTGTGAATTTCTTTGAATGCATCATTGACTTTTCATTGAGCTCATTAAATGTGTCCCTCAAAGTAAGCGCCATATCAAGTATGCCGTGTCTGCTTGTGCATTCAAAAGTTTTATTTTTAAAAGATGTATGAGGTGATCTTTTTGTACACTTTATCTGGGATGTGTTTTTAGCAATGAGTCCCAATAAAAGAGCAGCTGTGGTGTGCTTGGGGTGTGATACTGTGTTAGATTTAAATGTTGTCTGTCTCTGAGCAAAGAGATCCTGACAAAGGAGCGAAGTGTTCGAATTATAAACCAGCAAGCTGATTTTCTGCTCAAGACAGTTCTTCTTGTAATACATGCAAATTTTTCCTGTCCTCAAAAATGTTCTATTCATTGTCCTTTATAGTCACACCAGTTACCTGGAAAATGTCACACCCAAAGTCAACACACAAATTTTTGACTGTGCATAAGAACAAAGTTACCACACACATACACATGCGCGCGCACACACACACACACCTCTCTTTTTTCCTTGGTCTTATAGGGTTCGCTTTTCTAATAGTTTTAGTAGTGCTAGCCCCTAGCATCACTACAAATCTACAAGTAGACGACAACTTTTTCTGTCAAAGGAAAATAGATATTCCATGAAAAGAATAAAGTACTGATCAAGGCCTGCCTCTGTACACAACCTCTTATTTAAATTTGTTTTTAAACTGGCGTCTGTGGTGTAACAGTTAGGCACTTCACTGTCACATACAGTAAACCTGAGTGCAATTTTAGATTTGGGGCAAATTTTTATCAAGTATCTCGGTCTTTCTACTGGGATGTTGTAGCCCTCTCAGCCTAAGCTGGCTCTGACAAGCATTGGAAAGCCCGTCTACTTATCTAAATTGCGTTGATGAGGACGTAAAATCACCTACAATATTTTTTTAAATTGTTTTTCCGTCCCCAGAACACATTTACACAGGCACAGCTGATGGCTGGGTCAAGCACATCCATAAAGGAGAGGTGCAGAACTTGGTGCGGTTTGGAACACCACCGTGTGGTGAGCAGCAGTCATTTCTATTGTTATGGTTGCTCTTAATGGTGAATTGAGCATTCAAACAGGTTTAAAAATATGTTATGGCTTGGAGAAAATCCATGGAAAATTTTATTAGGTTCGTCTTCCTTGGAAATGTTGCTTTTATTTGGACACAATGGATCATTGTTACCGTCGCCAATCCGCGTCCCGTTGGAGCAAAGTGTTAAACAATATTGCAAAATAACCATCTGCAACTTCCAATGAGTTTTTATCTGAGCCACACACATGTAGTTTAGGGAGTTGTAAATACAAGGGGAGCGTGAGCTATTTGTATATTCCTTTGCATTATGGTACTTTATGGGAGTAGGGCGTTTCCGTAGCCTAGGAATCAAAGTGTCACATTGAGATTTTTGTTTTCCTATTTCAGATTGTTGGCACTTTTCTTATTGTAGCAGAAGAGGAGAAACTGTTTTATTTGACCTTGACAAGCTATCTGTAAAGTTTTTTTTAGGTTAATGCATGTTTTCGAATTTATTGAAAGAGAGAGAAAAAGAAAAATAATAAAGAACAAAGGGACCATCTTAATTGCAAAGGACTAAAGACTGACTGGGCATTCTTTTGGTGTATCGCACTTATCAATGTGTTACTGCTCAATTAGTCTTTTTTGCAGTTAACAGCACTATAATGCAAAAGTTACACATGTTTGATAATCAACTGTCTTAATCTATGATAGACAGAGATATGGCCAACACATGCCTTCCCTTAAACAAAATTTTGGAAGGCATTTATTATATGCCTACCATACATGCATATGTAGGTATATATAATATGCAATGTTTTATTCAGGTGGAATAATGAATGAGAATACCTGTGGTCGACCTTTGGGTATGCGGATGAGCAAAGACGGATTTCTGATTGTCATTGACGCGTACTATGGTTTGTACAAGGTGAACGTGGCAACTGGTGAGAGACAATAAATCTCATATTTAATTCAGATGAGGTGCATCTCATTGAAAATTATGAGCTACTGTATGGATGCGAAAAATGAGGAGAAATGATCATGAACCTTTTTGACAAACAGGAAAAAAAAAAATACTATGCCTTAGAAGGGTCATGCTAGCTAGAACAAAGAGAACTCTTTTTAAATTGCCATCTTAGTGACAAATGCCTCATCCAACTTGCTGCTATTCATTTGAGTAGAGCTTTATTTCTGCCTCTCTTTAGGCCCTATGTTATTTTTACAGTTGTTCCTGCTTCACACTTTGAGTGTGGGTTCGGGGTGGTATAGATGTTGAATGTTCTGGAAATATTCTTCAAAATGTTATAATTGTCTTTCCGTGGCTATATTTTCCTCTTTCTCATACATTTTTCTATAGTTTGACTAATAAGTGGGGTTTTAGTGTTCTCTTCAGCATGCAATACTTTTACACTTTTGTAACCCCCCCCCCCCCAAGAGAACTTTTTGCAGAGTTGATTTCTTTTGTATCAAATGAATATGTTTCTTTCGCTTGTTCAACTGATTGCTTACATTTTCATTTCAGTCTATACTTAATGCATTAAATTTTAAGTCTGTGCCTTAACATGTTGCAGATGTCCTTGAAACCTGAAAAAGCAGTTCTGAGATTTTTCCTAAACAAAACGTGTCTTTTGATCTTTTTCAGGTGACTACACCCTGCTCGTCTCAGCAAAGACTCCTGTTAACGGGAGGCCATTAAAGTTTGTGAATGATCTTGACTTTGGTCATGATGGGAAGATCTATTTCACAGACACCAGTTCTAGATGGCATCGCAACCAGTTTATGAACGTGGTATTTGAAGGCTCTGCCACTGGCAGGTCAGTGTCATGACGTTTATGCATTATGTGGCACCATTGTTTGGTATAAGATGCTAGGGGGAAATTGGTTGCACAGTTTATTGGGCACAAAAGCAAATGTTTTATTCTACTGTCTTATGAAGGATAAGTAGGTCTATACTCTTCTCCCTCCCCCCCCCCCCCCCCCCACATAGGAAAGGCTGCCTATTTGTACCAATTTTTATGGTAATTACAGATTTTGGATCTGTTCTACCGCCATACATACTAATGAAACTACCAAATTGGTGATCTGCACTGAGAGTTAAAATAAGAAAACTACCCAGTCTGTTTTGTAGTGCTTCCAATCTTCCATGATTTTACTGGAGAAGAAAAAGTTGACCTCCCCTGCTGTTGATGTGAGCAAATAATGTTATCGTTCTATGAAAATTTAAAAAATCTACAATTTTTGTTATCCTACAGACTCCTGGTGTATGACCCTGTTACTGGTGATGTGAAACAATTGATGGATGGTTTTCTTTTTGCCAATGGTGTGCAGTTGACTAAAGACAAAAAATCTGTCCTTGTTTCAGACACAATGGCAGGCAGGATTTACCGGTGAGAACAACTGCTGATGTCAAAGGACATTCAGTTTTGTGCTAGGGGGCTTTGGAGATTATTATAGTTGTTGTATTAAAGGAACAATGACCAGGTTATTTATTTTACTATGAAAGAAGAGCTTGAAGTTTGACACATTTCACTTGCATTTATCATTCTGACCATTTGAGAATAAGAAGGTACCTCACCTGTTTTTTGCGAAAAAGGAAAAAACGTCCACCTCTTTTCGCATGTTTAATTGGTGATTTAAGATAATGATTTTTTTTCAGTGAATGTTCTTCCAGATTTAAAAGCAATCCCTTTTTACTTCCTCATCTGCAGGGACAGTTTTTCATTTGACCTACTTTTGTCCAGGAAGCCTCTTTAGTTTATTGTTTAGGCTAATAGATGATATGTGTCTTTCTGATAGACAATAAGTGTCTTTTTCTGTTCTATATAACAACACAGATACATTTTGCAAAGTGGAGATACGGTGGTGTGGGCGGACAATCTCCCTGGACTTCCTGACAACATCCGTTATTGTTTGACCTCGGGGACTTACTGGGTGGGATTTGCAGGCGTCAGACAAGCTGGGAAGTTTTCTATTGTCGATTCATTGGCTTCACATCCATGGATCCGTGGAATCCTGGCCAAGGTGTGTTTCAGTGTCTTTTCCATTTTATTTGGGTTGTGAAAATAAAATAAAACTTACTTTGTTCTACAGAAAATTGTTAAAAGGAACATGCACTGCGAGTTGTCATTTTGTTGTCTGTCTGTCCTGAAATACCAGATGTTTGTTTTTCAAGTAAAGCCTTTTTGGGGGTTTTTTTATTATGCAAAATGTTCATGTGCTAGCATCATCCTGTGAAGTTCAAGGGAGTCAGCAATTGAAACCTAAATTTCAGAAATTCATGCACTGCAGAGCAACTTCGAAATAGTTTGCGATCTGGACTTTTTGAAGGATCTCTTGTTTTTCATTGACTCTGCTGCCTTTTATTCTTGCTTATACTTAAACTTTCTAATCTTCTTACAGCTGTATTTATTTGAATTATTTTGTTGAACAGAAAAGTTCAAAATCCAATCTCTTATCCTGTCATACAAAACTTAAATATTTCACTGTCTTTATTTATTTATTTTAATTTTTTTGCAGGTTGTTACAGTTTCAAATTTTCCCACCGTAGCGAAGCATCTGAGCAGTACAGACACAAAAGCTATTACACTGGAGATGTCCGAGGATGGGAAAATCCTCCGAAGCCTTCAAGACTCCACAGGTGCTGCCTTGCATGGGGCCAGCCAAGTGTCATGTGCTGATGGAGCCTTATACTTTGGTTCCTTCCATTCCACGTATTTGAGCCGCTTATACAAGAAGAAGATTCCTGGATTTTAGAGCATTTTTACCTTGTAGTTGATTGAAAGTTTAGTAACATCCTTTACCACAAGTGTTTTACCATTTTCCTTGATTTCAGAGATTTAGAAAATCGTTAAGTATTGACCTGTAGATAAATACAGAACAGAAATCCTGATATGCTATAGAAAGCTACGGCAGCAACCACAAATATCGGTGATACGCTGATGCAATATTGTTATTGTATTAGAGACTAGCTAGTTTTATAGTTCCTCATGAATATAGATTAGTCTCTCACCAAAGGTCCAGTGTGTCAGATTATTTTTTCCATACTGTGTGGATTTCCAGTATAGATATGAAAGGTCTTTTCTCCTCTCCTCCTACCAATTCTTGGAAGCAATTTATTTATTCACTAGAGCTGCAGTTGCTGCAGACTCTGAATTCTAAAGGGAGTTTTAGTTGACATGTACTATTCATTGATGTTTGAACAGTATTAAGGCTCTTTAGGCCGATACTTTTTGCTCTGCAGTATTTTTTGTTTTCAGTTCACAACTCCTGTTCATACAGACAGCTTACTTTAATATCATTGAAAAGTCAATCTATTAACTTTGGTTAATGGCCACAAATGTCTTTACTTATGTTTGAGTTTGAGCTGGAATTTTCAAAAACTTGACTTTCCGAAAATCCTCACGGCTAAGTTGGGTTGTTTTATTTTGTTTTTGGGTTGTTGTTTTTTTTTATTGGGGAGAGGGGTGGTTGTAGTTTTCAGTACGGAGCATCTATTACAGATCCGTCAGTGGGGTTATAATTACCCACATTTTTTGTGATCTACATCACACTTGCTCATGTATGCCCATCCAGATGAGCAGAAACAGTCATCTTTAGTGCACAGAGCATTCCTTCACATTTTCTATGAAAACTTTTCTGGAGTAATTTTGTGGGTATTTGAAAAGTTCAGGAGACAAATTTATGAAATCTTTGGTGCAGATGATTTGCTCACATTTCCAAGAAAGATTTGAATCTAGTCTGAGGTTTTTGTGAAGTCTGCTCCGGGATGTCATTATTCCAGATTATATTTCATGTTCGAATTTTATTGTTTATGGTTCCAAATATTTTCTTCTGCAACTTACATTACTTTTAGCAATTTTCAAGTAAGCTGCAATCTCATGCAAAAGTAGTGCAAGGACATGCAAATATTTTTAGATTCGAGTTGACATGACTTTCAGTAGTTACAAGGAACAGAGTATTTTGTCTTTAAACTAAAGCAATTGTTCACCACCAACAACATTGCTATTAAATTTATGGTCAACAAAGGAATTAGTCTATGTACGTAAATTTTTAATACTCTTCTCAAATTCTTGCTTCCTATCTTCAGGATACTTTGTTGCTTAAAGCTTTGTAGTTATTAATAATGATTATAATAAATTATACTTTTATTTGTCCCAGAAGGGCACTTTGTTTTACAATGACAAACATACATACATACACGAATACATAATTATAAATATGTACATACATAAATACATACATATAAATACATACATATATGTAAATACACACTATTACACAAATGCAGAACAGTTTACAATGCAACTGTCGGTCGCCACTGAGCAGCGCCCTGTATTTTGAGCTAGGGTTGTCGTGTCTTGCTTAAGGGCACACTCCAGTGACCTCTCATCTGATCCCTGTGTCACCGACACTTGCTTGACATTGCTTGAGTCAAAACTCACTACTCACTTAGCCACTGGAGCCCCCTGAAGATATAGAATCCTATTATATGAAAAGTTTGTGCATAAATACAAGTTATTGCCTAATGAAAAAAAACCTAAATTACTACAAATTGTGAAGACTCAAATTTATATTTTTACACTGAAAGTGATAGTCTGCGAAGTTTCAGGGTTTTAGGAACTTCAGTTCAAGGTTTCTCAGTGACCCATATCAATTTTCTTATCAAATATCGGTGTGAAAGTGAAAGCTAACTATATATGTAAATGTGACTAAACATTTTGACTTTGTACTTTTGGCTTCTTCTTATAAATTTTTCATTTAAGTAACTCACCTTGGGGGAAAAAAAGAAAAATCAGTTTGTTTCACAGTTGGGGTTCAAGAGATTTCACAACGTTTGAAAAACTATCTGCTTACAATGTGTATCAAGAAAGAATCTTATGTAGCTGCAAGTGATATCAAGAAATACATTTGGTTTGTTTTGTTTTTTATGATTGTGTATGATCTGTATTTTCATAATTGTCATGACACAGTGGAATCTGGCGCTCTTCAGTTTTTTGGGCATGTGATGATATTGGTACAATCTTAAAGCCTGTCCTTTTGCCTTGCGTTTGATGAAAAAAAAAATGCTCATCTGCCTTGAACAGAAGTCGAGATATATGCAATTGAAGGTGGTAGTGGTTGCTTAGTGTGAGAGGTAAAATTAGTGTGAAAATGGCCGCCACAGTTTGTGGTGATTTCCAAAGTTGAAGTGTCCTTGGAAACTCCAAATTTACATTTGTTGTGCCTTTTATTCAGTAAAATCCATGCATCAATGTGTTTTTAAATGGACATTAAAGGTGTTAAGCCGAAAATAAAAAATTTGATGAAAATTGCTTTATGCGCAAAAAAAGTCGGTTTCTTATTCTTACATTTCATTGTTTTGACGAGCGCCAGATTCCACTTATTTTTCGCAGAGTAGCTGAATGAGTTTCTGGATTTTTTAAACTCACAATAAGAATGAATCTGTATTTGGAATGAGTTTTCTTTAATTGATTGAGAAGCTTGTGGATTTTTCCTGCGTTCTACTTGCTGGTTTGTCTTTGTGTATTTGGATTGATTCCTAGTACTTGGTGCACATTGCGGATGAGATCAGGTTGGGTCGATCGCCCGACTCATCGCCTGAAATCAAACGCGTTTGTTTTTTAGGCAACGAATCAGGCACGATCAGCTTGTGCCACGATAGCCGCTTTGCACCCTCAATCTGGTTTGCAAACCGCTCTGACCCTACCCGATCCCCAGTCCGCCCCCGTCGTTTTATGCAAGAAAAATTCTGAAATTATGCAAACTGAGTCAAAAAATGTGAAATTATGCGATTCTGTTAATTTTAACAAAGAATGTTGAAGGAAAATAATCAGAAATTATGCCAAAAATGATCAAGTTTTGCTAAATTATGCGGGGTGCATAAAACCACGGGGACAGCCCAATGGGCACCCCATATAAGGCTTCACGCATAAAAAATCAATTCCTCCTTCCACACACTTTAGTTCCTCTGAGAACTGGCATGTAAATGATATGTCTCTCTGAATGATAGTAGATACAGTTGTGACTGTCTTACTGCTTCTGATATTTTTTTCATATTTGGAAACTTTTTTACAAATTGTTTTTAAGCTCAAGTTTGAAATGTGTCAACTTTTATATATATATGGTTTATATTAAACTTTGGTTTTAAAATGTTGTGAAATGGCTTTTTAGGGGACTGCATTGTAGGAATCGTTCTATTTTCTTTATTTTTCCATTACATTTGTTGTGCCATTGTTCATTTTTTTGTGTCTTTCAGCAATCAAATCAAATTTTTTTTCAGGCTGTCTTTTAAGACAGTAGAGTCATCTTTCCCATGGATTTTGTTGCACTGTTTCTATGTTTTTACTTTCTGTTTTTACTTGATTGTTTCATGGACTGCTTTCTTGGATCTCATCGTCTGCTTTGGTATTGCCACACAGAGCTACACAGGTTACTGTTGCCTCGTTTTTTATGGACGATGTGAACATGAAAATAAATGGCTTTTAGTGAAATTGCTACACCATCAAAGGCCAATTTCAGAGGCCTGTTCTTTGTAAATTTGTTATCACCATGATAAGTCAAAACTTCTAATGTTGTTGATAAAAATGCAGGGGACAAGCGTAATTTCTTTTTTGCAAACATGTGACAAAGAATGTATGAAATATGTCATCACGAAAATGACCGAATGACTCATTTCACATGTTGGTAAAAAGAAAGCGCAAAATTATGTCTTTGCAAGTGCAAACTTTCATAAAATGATAATCATTGCAGACAAGAGACTGATATTTCATATGTCTGTATGTAATTCAGCCCGCTGAATGAAAAAAATGATGTTAGATTTAACATACGAATACGTAAGCGTTAGAAAGAGAAAAGTTTGTGTGACTGTGATAATTTTTCTCAGACTGGTATATGTCTGCACTTCCACAGATTATTATAATAAAAGTTAGCAGGCTATGTGTAACATTATTGAATGATAATCTTGAAATCAGAAATGGCATATTACTTAATGTAAAAATATAGTAACTTATTATTCAAAGAACGGTGCCATAAACACTCCTCTTCGGTGGTCTACTAGATATAGCGCAGATATGCTCATCTGGAAGTGCCCAACTCAGTGAGCTTGTGTGGAGAAAAGGGGGGAGGACGCGTGTGCTTCACAACGAAATGTTTCACTCGATCAGGAAAGCACAGATTCCTTACTTATGTACAACAGTGTTTAGGAAAAAGATAAGCTTTTCTTTTTATACTAGACTATGATTTTTTTTAAATTATAAAATAGTTAGATAGTGATATTTGGGAGTTTCCAGTTTACATTTGGTTGTTGACACGGCATATTCTTCCTCTGCTATCAAAGGAAAAAACGTGATCACTCCTTTTTCATGGTCAATTAATACAATCATTTCTTTTTTTTAATTGCCAAGCTGTTTGTATCTGAATAACCTGACCCCCCACTCCACTCCACCCCCAGTGTGCACAAATGGTTTTGCCTGTTGGGCTGAGCCCGATGATCCACCCACGCAACCTGTTGTCATTTTCCCAAAGGATTATTCCTTAACTCACGCCAGTGTGACAAAAGAATGCCATATTTTGAAGAAGACAAGACCACAGAACACAAGTGATGATAGATTCTTTTTATTTGTCAACACTATTTAGGACAAAAATAGCATGAATATTTGACACAAAATAGACGCTTCACCACGCTCGCGCACACTTTTACAGTGCGTGTGACTTGCATTTTGGCATATCTACAGATACTCGTCTATATTTTTTAAAGGTAAACTGTGGAAAGATAACCAATTACTGGTTGAAATAAATATGCACACCCCTGAATTCCGTTGGAGTTCAGCATCTCGTAGAGACACCCAATGTAATGTGATGTTTTTTAAAAAGTCTTTCTTTTTATGTGTTTATTTTCTCAAAATCTGCATCTCCTTTTGTATGTTTTTTTTTCCCCTGGACTGAGAGATATTTGTTGCATTAGCTGTTTGCCCAGTTTCCCCACAGCAATTTCTAAAAATTCGCTTATCCTTTGAGCGATATATGCTGAATTGTTATATAATTTTCATATTATTGTATACTTTTCTTTACTCAGTGTTCATCAGGGAATGTTGTTGAGAGCAGTGAATGATCTCTTAATTCATTCATGAAATTAGAAGGCTAAAAATTACAGGCTCTAACTCGGTTAAGGTAATTCTGAAGACTGACACTTGGTTCCTCATTTGGCCACTGCTTTAAGACGGAAAACATTATAGAAAGAACAAGAGAATATTCAGGCACCTCTCAGATTCAAGCTTTGTTCCTCCCGAAGTTGGACAACTGTCATTAGCCATAAGCTGATTATTCCTAAATTTGGGCTGATGAAAATGTGACAGCATTTGTCATTTTGTACACAAAGTCAAAAATTCTCGTATTGATGTGCAACTATTGTTGAAATTAACAACATGAGCACCGTACTTTGGGTAAACCTCTGGCTTGAGAAGCTTTGTTATTTTTTTATTTATATCATTTCCAGAGAAAAAAAAATAAAGACATTAAACATTTTGGTCTGTCTTCAGGGAGTATTGTTTTGCAGCAACTGAGATATTGTGATATGGTTTGATGTGAGTCAGAATGTCATAGTTGGCGCATCCTTGTTTATGTCTGAGTGTTCCTCTGTACCAGTTGCATTATGCAGTTCACTTTTGCTTTTAGCATTTATTATGTACTTATTTCAATACAATATAAGGAAATCTTGAGATTCATTCCTAATTGTTTGGTGCCATCATCTTTATAATTTTTTTATCTTCTACTTAAACAGAATGCACTTCACTGCCGAGGCCATACACTGGCTTGCTACACCAATTATGAAAGTAGAAAATATTTTGCTAAAGTAGTAGACTGCTAACTATTGGCAAATTTTGGTGAAACTGCCTCCTGACCTCTCCATAGATTGTCAAACTGTCAGATTTGTTGGAGGATGATGACCTTTTTGCTTCCATCAGAGCTAGTTGTTCTGTCAGGATTAGACTGCTTACAATATATTTAAACTCTTAGATATTCTTCTTAACAAGTATAGCAGAAAGCTTATCCTTAAGCTTAAGATAAACTGATCATGTTTTTTTCTTAAAGTACAAGTTCAGTATTCTTAGTGTAAAATAGCAAGGTAAAGTCATTGTCGTGTAAAGAATATTGTAAATCTTGCTCTGGATTTCAGCGTGTTAGCAGTCTACCTACTTTGCATAGTTTAGTTTATATGTTGTTAAGATGTTCTTTTTTCGCATTGTGTTCATTAAAAAAACCATTAAACAGTCATGATTTTGTCCTCATTATTTGTTACTTATATGTTGTGTGGAAGATTTGAATCGAAGTTTCTATCTAATTCAACAACATGTCACGACACTGACCATGGTAATAATGGGCAACTGGTTTTCATATCATATTGTTCCCATGATTTATGACAAATATATCACTACAGAAAAGTGTAGTGTAACGGCTAAATGTCTATCTATCTATCTATCTATCTATCTATCTGTCTGTCTGTCTGTCTGTCTGTCTGTCTGTCTGTCTGTCTGTCTGTCTGTCTATCTATCTATCTATCTATCTATCTATCTATATGTCTGTCTATCTATATGTCTGTCTGTCTGCCTGCTTGTCTGTCTGTCCGTCCATCCATCCGTCCATCTTTTTGTCTGTATTGGGAGCAAAGTTGCGTTTCATCAGCTACTATTTCATGAGGTTCCACATATCTGCAGATTCATATCAGGACGAATTTGCTGCACATACATAATGACCACTCCATCGTTGGTATGATTAGGTAT